TTTGTCCACAGATTCCAAGACATTGACCGAAGAGAAAAGAGAGGAGATCTTCGAGAAGATCGGCAAAAATGAATACAAAAAGATCGGTTACTTAGCGACTGTCTTATCGCCGGTCACTATAAGTAATTCAATGTTTAGACGGTTTGTATTGCTATACTTGTCGAGACAAACATCACCGCCAATTGATCCCAACATTTTAGATCGAAATACAATTTGAACGCATTATCTCACGACACGGCCATCGCTCTGATTAGACGCGCCCAACAAAATGGCGTCAAAATAAAGAAAGTATTCCTCGACACCGTCGGTCCCGCAGACAAATACGAGGCCAAACTCAAGCACTTGTTCCCCGAACTGATTGTCAAAGTGTCCAACAAAGCCGACTCTCTGTTCCCGATAGTGAGCGCCGCCAGTGTTTGCGCGAAAGTGATTCGCGACAGAGTTGTCAACGACTGGAAGTTTATTGAATCCAATGTTCAGTTCGCTAAAGAGGATTACGGCTCCGGATATCCAAGTGGTATGTGTTCACACATTTCCGTGTCATCAAAGTTACCATTTTTACTAACATTTAATATATTTTAGATCCAAAGACAAAGAGTTTTCTGTCGAAAAATATGGACCCAGTGTTTGGTTTTACGACATTTGTTCGGTTCAGTTGGTCCACAGTTAAGAACATATTGGATGATAAGGCCATTCAATGTGATTGGTGTGTGATTTCAGTACAAATTAAATACAAATTAAACATATGTTTCAATCATTTTAGGGAAGAATCGGAAGACGAAGAGCTCGAAGCGGAGGTTATCGGCTGTTTTTTCTAGAGGTTAATGAAATGTCGACAATTGTTTGTCTTAGGTGTCTTCTTCGTTTTTCACTTATGTAAAAAGTTTCTTTCTTTAGAAGTCGGGTATTCATCAGAGTTTCTTAACGACTGATTTTGATCACACATTTGTCTGAATTGGAAAACAATCACAAAAGTGTTGTATGTTTTAATCAGTGCTTTTAATATTGATCGCCATTTTAATCAAATTATAATGATTTTATTGCATTTGAAGATATTTTAAATTTTACAAAATTTGCATTTTTTTATTTTATATTACATTTGAATGCATTCTACAATCCGTCGCATATCTTCTCGACGACCTGTTTGTTGGGTTGAATGTTAATGAATGTTAAAAATGTTTGAATTTGATTTTCAATTCAATAAATGTTTGTATTGATAGAGAACTTACGCTCATTTCCATCATAACGGGATCAATACACCGATGAACAGCACTCAACAGAACCTCATCTATCAATACGTAAACCAAACTAAATGAAAGAAACATTTAATGATACTGAAAATGCATGGTTTAAAACACTAATGTAATAGTACTTCTCATCGGAAGCATAGGCCCAGACGTGTGTTTGCAGATAATATGAGTCGACTTGCATTTGTTGTAAACCATATCGACTGAATGAACACAAACGAACGCATTCTATCAAAGTCTAAGCCGACAAAAAAGATCTCCAATTACTTTACAGCTGTTAACAAACAGAATCCACAGAAGAAGCAAAAAGTGAATACATTTTTCAAAGAAAGAAATCTTCAGCCCATAAGTAGTCTCAAAGAATTGCTGTGATTTTGAGCACACATTTGTCTGAATCGGAAAACAATATCACAAAAGTGTTGTATGTTTTAAACAGTGCTTTTAATATTGATCTCCATTTTAATCAAATTATAATGATTTTATTGCATTTGAAGATATTTTAATTTTACAAAATTTGCATTTTTATATTTTATATTACATTTGAATGCATTTTACAATCCGTCGCATATCTTCTCGACGACCTGTTTGTTGGGTTGAATGTTTAAAATGTTTGAATTTGATTTTCAATTCAATAAATGTTTGTATTGATAGAGAACTTACGCTCATTTCCATCATAACGGGATCAATACATCGATGAACAGCACTCAACAGAACCTCATCTATCAATACGTAAACCAAACTAAATGAAAGAAACATTTAATGATACTGAAAATGCATGGTTTAAAACACTATGTAATAGTACTTCTCATCGGAAGCATAGGCCCAGACGTGTGTTTGCAGATAATATGAGTCGACTTGCATTTGTTGTAAACCATATCGACTGAATGAACACAAACGAACGCATTCTATCAAAGTCTATATATTTTCGTTAATTTAATTCATATTTTAATCGTTTAACACTTACTTTGAGTCCGATTTTAATAATTCCGGTCAATGCCGAGAGTCGCGAGAACTCAACACAACTGAAAATTTCAATCTTTTCGGTGAATAGTTTTTGTATGTTTGACATCAGACTGTTGTCGAAAGTACTGTTCAAATGGTATTCAATTAATACAAATCAATGGCAGTGCAAAGATATAGTAATAAATGACCCAAACCTCGGCCCATAAGCGCTCCAATTGGACGACTTATTAGCGGATGAATGTCTGCCTCCGATTCCTATTGCGCTAAAAGTTCGCCGACTTTTACTGGAGTCAGAGCTGCGTTCAAAACGGTGTCCCTCTTCGTAGAGCTGTCCGACCTGTGCGTCGATTTGTGCGATATCTTCAATCACTCGCTTCATGACAGAGCGTACAGACCGGGGCTCCACTGAACTCAACCAATCTCTGGTCTCAACACTCTTGCGAATCATTTGCGAGATGTTATGGCCCTCTAATCGCACGAAATGGTTGAGCAACTGTTGAGCCGTTTCGTGCGCTTCTTTGCACACATCCGACAATGAAGTCATTTTGGGATCAGAATTGTTGTATATATTGAACTGCTCTTCAGTGAAGGACAACAGATAACCGATGATAGAAGTGTCGAAATCTAAACAAAGTCGAGACAATAGTAGAATGAGTTGAGAGGGAGGAGACGTCGCCGTCGAGTAATTCTTCTCGTATTCCAACGAAACGGTGAGAATATGTCTTATAAATCCGATGACAACGACTTCGCGAACAAATTTTGTGCTAAACTTTTGTTGAAACTGTGTTTTGGCGGCAAATGTCACCTCAGGATCTGTGAATGGCATGAGTGCCGCCACAACCGATTTGATGAGTTCACTGATGGATGTCTGCAATGTAATCAATAAATCAGTTAACGATTGCTTTTCGAGAATCACAGCACTGGATGTCATTTGAGATGATCTGGAAGTGGACATGGATTGCGATGATGTGCTTAGAATGGAATGTCTAATATTCGTCAATTCTTCCTGATATCTGCTCTTAAGGTAACTTAAGAAGTGATTGCATTGATCTTCACTCGCCTTCTCCACAATTGCCATCGCTTTCACTGAGAAGTCATTCAAATCATACGTTCGGTTAAGACTTAAGAGTCGCTTATAAAGTCTATCGAGAGCTCTGACAAACAAAGTGGTGTCGTTTATTGACTTCTTCTCGGACTGAACTCGTATTAGTATTGTTTCAAAAAACTTATTCATATTCTTGTCCACAAATTCTTGTAATGTTTTCTTAATTCTTTCATTTGATTCCATATTTGCTTTACTAAAAGGTTTTTGAAGAAATATATCCGAATAGAAAGTTATAGTAAGCGATAAATTGCCGAGAAATCCATTGCACGCAATGTCTATGTATTCAAGTATGTCCTAAATTCAATGCAAAACTATTGTCAATAAATCAAACAATTAATGTTATTGTTTACCACTAATAATGATTGAGATTCATCTGATGTAGAATTCAACCATTTGTTCGCCAAATCATTTTGATAATAAAGTTCAGAAAAATTGGTTTCCAGTCTCTTATCAGCCCTTTTGAATGCAATGATTAGAAATATGTTCAAAACAATGCTATAGTCTCTCGACTCTTACATCGATAGGTATTCCTGGCATAGCTTTTCCGTCGGTTCGTTCAGTTTTAACAGCAATTCTATGCTTTCGTTCAATTGGTTCGGAGAGGCCTTCGATAGCAAACAATCATTTAATTTATTGAAATTTATAAATTCATTCAAAATATAGAAACCTCTCGATTGGAAAGTTTTTTATAGAGCTTTTGCTTCAATTGATTGACAATTTGAAGACATTCCTCATTAATGGCTTGAATGGAAGGGAAGTGCAAATACTGGCCTAAAGTCCTTTCAGCCCTCAAATAGTATTTGACGGCTGAGTTGTATTGGTTTTGTTCAATAGATTCGCGCATTTTTGGAGATAATTCAAACAGGAATTGCAGTTTTGTGAGCACTTCGTGAGTGTCGGCCAACTTTGACAAGTCATCTCTTCGTCCCTTTAAATTGTCTGATATCTCATCACTACTTTTAGTGATGCCCTCCATATTGGTTGACAACAGAGTCAACTCTTCTTCCATTTTGTCGAAGTGGGAACTCATCTGAAGAATGCATTGAATGAGACAATGGATAGACAGTAGTGTTAATATGATTACCTTTTGTATGGTTTCTGTAGCGCTGATGAACTTATTATAGTTCTCGTAGACCAATGTCTGCATTTCGCTGTCCAACGACTGGATCTGTTTGTAAAGGCTTTGTTCGGTTTCCATCAATTCAGATAAAGTGCTGTCTTTTAATAACTTAAATATTCATTCAATTAATTGACATTCAATTCAATATTCAATAAACAAATCAATACTTTATTGAGAAAGAGATCGCAATTAAAGTCAGAGCTGTTTATATCGAAAGGATCGCAAATCGACGGACTGTTCATCTGATGGTCACTACTATTGGTTCCGTAGTATTGCTTAAGACTAGACCGACGTCGAGGGCCACCACTCGTCACATCGCTATTCACTTCAATTGCAAATCATATGTTAATTGTTGTCATTTGATTCAACACTCAAATGACTCATTCAATTGTCTCACCATTTGTTGACATTTTGTTGCTTTGCATTCAATTAATTGATAATAATTTCGATACTAATTAAATGATTAATAATTTAATTCAAACTATAAATAAATATAAAAATACATGAAATTAAATAACAATTAAAAATAAATGATTGAAAATTGAATACAAAATATGACACGAAATGATGTAAACGTTAGACACATATGTGTTGTGAATGTAAACAAAGTGTAACTAAACTGCAAAACAATACTCTATTCGTATGTATTGAATGAAAGTGTCATTTCAGGTGCGCTTCACTTTCACTTCGAAATTACTTTTCAACTTTTATTATA